CGTTCATAAGTCTTCAGATATGATTGCCTCAGCTTCAGTGGGTGTTTGTATGCACTGCGAAATTCAGCAACAGCAGTAGCAGGAGCTCGTACTGTAGCACTGAGCTCGCCGTTCCGCTAGATTCTACAAGATACTTCTTCCGGAATTAGGCCTACCAGCGCCGGGGCTGCCGCCCGTCTAGTTCTACTAGACATGTTTGCCCCAGTCATGCCTAGCAAAAGTAACCATCTGAACATGACGTACTGTGCACCTTTCCTGCAGTCTGCAAGTGGCCTATCACCGTAAGGTGTTCAAAAAGGCAGTCTCAGCAGGAGCGGATTACTAATTGTGGAAGATGCCAAGAGGGCGGAGCAGACAACACTTTCGTGTCGTGTAGGCGTCGTCAAAACATAATGGAACAGCACCAACGATGTAATAGCGCGGCAAGAATACTACAAATGCAAGCGTTAATGCGGCACGTTAATGCGGCATTCCTCAGCTACATAGATCGGAAGTGCAGCACTGCTCACATCAGTGTCGTAGTGAAGGGCGGCGTCGCGCTGGAATCAATCGTCAAAAGAAATACCTCGCTTGCTCTGGGTCTCGATGATTACGGATTTTCGCAGGGGCACCCCACAACGCTAAATAAATCTTCATTGCCTGAAGGAGGTAGTGGACCTGTGGTAATCGGTGAGAGGTGTCGTTGGCAAGCGTGGAACAATTCGAAACCGGATCGCCACACTGAGAGGCAGCTCCAACACTTTGCATTTTTCTTGCATCAGCCAAAATGACGCATGAAAAGATTCAATGGAAGAGCAACGAGGCGCAACAGCTCTCTAATAAGCAAATAAGCAGTGCAGAAGTGCAGCCCGAGCTTCGAGCACGTCGAGTGTGCAGCGAAAGCAATTAACTCCGCGCCTAGCCCGCGAAAAATGTGTGAATTCATTTGGCTTGGTTGTTGAGTTGAATTGAGGCGAAGAAGGGACGAGGCATCAACTGTGTTGGGTCATGGGAGGAACTACTGCACACTCAACTAGGCCCATCGATCCCCTGGGGACACACGGCACTTCCTGGGATATAGCCTGCAGCTGGCTTCTCCAAGTACAAAGAATTAATGGTTGGATGGACACAATTTAGCAAGAGTGATCTGTGCTTTTGGGCCGATGGGCTCGATGCTTCGTTGGATGCATTTTTCTTCCAGTTTTCTTTAGTACCATTCCTGCCCAGGGGAGACAGTTCGACCTCGAGGGCTTAACACGGTATTGACTACAGGTCTTCTTGCTTCTTTTTAATTACAAAACCATGTACCATATCGGAATTTGTAATCTGGACATAAGCACTGCAGCTTGTTGCTCCATTCAGGTGCCATGAAGAGTTCTCGCCGCATACTGCCACGCCCATGGACTGGTTCCAAGATCTGCCGCAAGGGGCTTTGAAGTTCAACGGTGGGACAGCCACGAGATTCTCCATCGATCTGCATAGCTATAGAATCGGACAAACTACATTTCATGATGATTATGGCTCTGCGCCGTTCCCGACCGGAGTTTCTTTGACAAGCGGCTGCCCAAGACAGTCATGGAGCCCCGAAAGTTGCGTTGAACGCAGGGAGTCATGAAATATTATACCAGCGTTCTCATACGCGTACTTCTTGAGAAACGCATTCGTCTTCAGCATGTCATTGTGCGATTTTTCGCTGGGCGTCCACCATCGCAATCTTCCTAACGGGAATCATGAAACCACTAAACTTGACTTGAATCACACTATCACTTTGGTTTCAGCCATCAGGAAGTAACATTCTGCTTTGCTGTAGCTGGTTGACGAGTT